GGGGGGGGGGGGGGGGAGGAGGAGGAGGAGGAAGGCTCCCCTTCTCAAATCCATGAGATAAAGAGCCAATTAAGTGACCCAAAATAGGCAAGTGGACTGTGGTCTCCAAATCAGGATCCAAGAGATCAAATTTCAAGCAAACAGTGACTAGGTTCATGCATTTCACTAATCCATGGTTTGCTTAATTTTTAAAAAAAATAAACCACAGTTATCCAGGTTTGTCCAAGATGCTAAGCTAAAACTAAAGAAACCCCATTATCATGTGTGTCTCAAAATGATCAAAGCAGCATGGTGCCGTTGCACTGAAATCTCTGCCCCTTTCTGGATGTGGGTGCAATGTCACAACATACATATAAAAGGAGTGGGGCTTATAGCACAACAATGTGACAGTTTTCATCAATTGACCTATCTGTTATGAATGCTGCTGCATTTCATTTGTAGAAACTCCATGTTACAGAGCAGTGTATCTGTTGGGTGGTTGGGCTTCCTAGATATATTTGGCTTCCTAATGTGGAAAGGAGTAAGCTTGGTTTGATTGATCCAGGCTTTACCTATATTATCCAGAAAAGGTGTTACTGCTTGATTCTTCTTTTGGCCTATTCTTCTACAGACTTGTGGCAGCCCCTGACTGATCTTGTCTGTGCTTGGAAACTCAACAGGGTTGGGCCTGGATGGACTCAGACAGGAGACCCCAGGAAACCCCAAGCCACAGAGTAGATTGGGAAGTCAAAAAGTATCTTGGAAAAAGGCAATGGCAAATGACTCCAACACTGTTGCCAAAAAAAGTACATGGATGTTTCCATGAACTCAGCAAGAGTTAAGGATGGGAAACTTGATAGGTCAATCTTGACTGATGCTAGGAAAAAAGTATCCCCAGATATTGTTAGTACTTGGATGGGAGACTACCAGCCATAGGATAGACTGAGAAATCAAAAGGGTATGCTGGAAAAAGGCAATGGCAGATGACTTTCCGCTCCATTCTCAAGGACATGTCATGGATGTGTCCATCACTTCACTAGGAAATGACCCCGATGTGAAGCTTTTATCTATACATACTGGCTGTCTGTGACGTTCTGAGTTACAGCAAGCAGTCAGAAATATTTATTTCAGCAACAATGCTAACTGGATGACCCATACACTCACGGTCAGCGTTTTCTTGATATACGGTGCCCCTGGAGTCAAAAGCTCTTCATTGGTGACGGGCCTCTTCAAGACTTGCATGGAAAGGAGAAAAAAATGACAGGCAGATGGTCGAGTTACACTGGCGCCTGCAGTTCCTAGAATTCCCAACCAGCAAGTCCTCCAAACAGCAGCAGAGCAGAAGGAATGGGGAAATTAACAGGCGCAGGCATGTCTGCAGGGTATGGTCAAAAAGGTCAAAATGGCAGCTGCGACAGTGTGATGGACGTTCCACCTGTTTTTTTCTGTGTATGGTACAAGTGACAGACAAAAAAAACCCAGGGGAACTTCAATCGCACCATTGCAGCTGCCTTCTTGACATTTTTAACTACACCCTGCAGATAGTCCTAAATAGGAATATTAACCAGATGATTTCCTGTGAATGGAAAGGTTGGTGGGGGGCAGGAATATGCACTTTGATGCACACACACAAAACATACCTGAGTCAGCATTAAAAACAACTTAGAAAGATGTCCACCTCTTTCAGCAACAACTTTGACCACTTTCTTGTTTTACCCCACTGATTCTTTGGAAGGAAAATTCAAGGAAAATCAAGGTGGTCTCCCCTTGGTGTTACACACCATGGAAATGAAGGTAACTTGTAAAGCAAAGGACAGAGCATGACATCCTGGAAGGAAGGCATTTATCTGTCTGGTATGTACGCACATGTCGGCATATCTGTTGAACTTCTTGAATTTTAATTTAATTACTTTGGAATGAAGCAGATTTCATTTTTGATAACACAGAAGATTGCAGCCCAGTTCTGAAGGGACAAACAGAGAATTGGATGGGCTTAAAATCAGGATTTATGGCCACCAGGGAAGTCTAGCAAATGGTTTTCTTGCAGCCCTGTATATGTAATATGGAATCTGAATCCTGGTCATTGTGACAAGGATTGTTCTTAAGAGCTGTAGAAATTATGGTTGTGACAATCTTTGGTCCCCATTTCACTATTTGCTCATTTGCCTGGTGTTTTCTTCTAAGCACAGTGTGGAAGGACAGAACAAAGAGAAGTTGATGATCCTTCATCTTGATCATGCCTGCTCTCTTGAGGTAGGGAAGAGGCCACAATAGCCAGGAGGATGGGCGAGGGATCTGGAGGAATAGCAATGGATCCCTTGCAAGGAAGTGAAGTTCTTTGAGAGCTTAAGAGCTCCAGGAATTATAGCAGGCACAACAAAAAAAGGCCTTCATGGAATGAAGGACTCACCTGGTCATCTCAGCCATAGGACTTCATTAGAGCTGTTCTGGTTACCATGCTGTCTGGTCTAAATTGCCAATTTTCTCTTCCAGTCTTACCACATAAAGGTAACTACTAAATCAGTTTTTTCCAAACTTGGCAACTTTAAGCTGTGTGGACTTCAATGCCCAGAATTCCCC